AAAACAAGACAACCTGCAACCTGAAGGGATAAATTATTAAAATAAGCATTGCATGCGCTACCAACTAAGGTGCAAGTTATATACAACGCATTATAAAAAGCAAGAAAACATGGCTTATTGCCAACTAGTAGGCTGTTATTACAAAGTCTAGCAAACATGACTTGATGCAAAATGAAACTAAAATTAACAAAAAATAATAATACTGAAATTGACAAACAAAAAATACAACTGAAATTAAAAAATAGAAAATAAAAACTAAAGAAGACAAAATGAAAAAAACTGAAATTGATAAGAAATAAATAAAACAGAAATTGACAAATAGAAACTAAAAACGAAAGAAGACAAAATGAAAAAAATACAAAATAACACTGAAAGTAAAATTACCAGGAGAAAACTGAATTTGACAAAAAAAATTGACGAATAGACAATAAAAACTAAAGTAGATAAAATGAAAAAATCCATAGAAAACTAAAATTGAAAGTACAATAAACTAGAATTGAAAGTGACAACAAATAATGAAAACTAAAATTAGCAAATAAGTTGCTACACGCTTATAATACATAAGTTGCTACACGTTTGCTAGTATATATAATTTGTTGGAAGGTTAATATATAGGCTGTTACACGCTTAATACATAAATAGCTACTACGGCCTTGTTCGTTTCTCTTATAATCCGTACTTTTCAGCTTGTTTTTTCAGCCGGAACAATATTTTTCTCTCACGACAAATCAGCCGGAACAGTGTTTCGGCTTGTTTTTTTCAGCGAAGCGAACGGGGCCTACATATATAATACAGCCTGTTCGTTTGGCTGTGGCTTGTCGTAAACGATCGTAAATTTCCAGTCGGAACAGTATTTTTCTCTCACACAAACCAGCTAGCAGTATTTCTTCCCAAACCAGCAACGAAACGAACCAGCCAACCGAACAGGTTGAATATAAGGTGCCAATACATACAAACTATTTTGAAACACATGCATCGTAGTCTTATTTTATATATCTCATCACAAGTGGCTCAATAGTATAAATCTAAAACTGAAAAAAAAGAAATCACCAAAACACTGGAATACCTACCAATTATGGGAGGTGAAGCCCTGAAATAGCTACCTAATAATGAAACTGAAAAAGTAGAAGGGGCACTGATGCACTACAGGATTCCTAGGTTAACAGTGCAACTCGCAAAATAAAAACACACAGGATGGTTCATGGGAAAAACTAGTAGCTATAAATGATTCTGATTCACAGAAACATTCATGGAGTAACATGACAATCCAGAAGAATGATGCACAGAATGATTCTGAGAACAATGTAGCAGAAGGCGGCCCCGAATTCTGCACAAAACTCCTAGGGTAATCTGGCTGCAACACGAGTGGGTAATTTCAGATACTAAAGCAATCAGATTCTTAAGATGGCCCGAGTGGGTAATTTCAGATGCTAAAGAAATCAGATTCTTGGGATGGCTGGAATGTGTATGCTGAGAACTCACGAGACAATGCTCAATGGAAAGAGACAACTGATTATGCTAACATAGATTGGAAATCAGATGGATGGGATGGCTGGAGGAGCCCATGAATCAAAGCTTCAGTAAGATGGTCACATCCATATATTGCACTTATCTTCCGGTAATACTACTGTACATTGCAAGCTGCAAATAAATCAACGTGTTTTTTTTACGAAGGATTGGATTCCACTGGCGAGGCAGTGGCGCCTTAGTACTTGTACCCCTTGACGTACAAACTTTCAGAGGCGGCGGCGTCCCCGGCGCCGGAGCCGGTGTACTTGCCCAGCCCGGCCTCGGAGTTGGCCTTGCACCGGACGTGGAAGGTGACCTGCGCGGCGGCGACGTTCTCCCTCTTGCCGAGCCACTTCTTGAGGGTGCTCTGCTGCAGCGCGCGGCCGAAGGAGAAGGACAGCGTCCAGGGCTTGAGCACCTCCAGCTTGTTCATCGCGTCCAGGTTTTGCGTCGCCTCCTCCTCGCTCTGCCTGCCCTACAGGAACACGACTCCGGGCACCGCCGCCGGCGCGGTGCGCCGCAGTGCCGCTACCGTGTACTCCGCTATCACCTCCGCGCCAACCTGAAAATCTTGCAGATATATGCATCGACCCACGGCACGACGGGGGCAGATGCAGGAAGAAAGAAGGGATTTGGACGCGGGGCGAAGAGAAGGCAGACCTTCGACGACAAATCGGAGCAGTTCCTCCGCCGTCGCCCGCAGCAACCTCCCCACCCACCGCTTGCTGCTCGGCTTCCGACAGCTGCGTCGCCGGATTCCGCGGGCGGCTGCGCTGCCGAAACGGAAAGGAGGAGGCTGAAACGGAAAGGATGAGAAAGGCCAAATGAAGGCGTGGAACAACTATTGGGCCAGGCTTGTTTCAGACGCGTCGCGCGATCGTCAAGGAGCGCGACTGGTCGCGAATTAGACTTTGCGTACCGCCATAACCATAGTTGAGGAGTTCAGATTAACTCTCTTTTTTTTTAGCAATACAGAGCTTCATTAATCAACGACAGAAGTACAATCAGCAGCAGCTATACCCGACAGCCACTCCGGGATATAGTCTAGCCAAAAAAGGACGCGCTTCGTGGCCGACACCATGCTCCCTCCGTACCCGAAATTCTTGACGTTTACGATATAATTGTGCTTACTAAGAGTGATTAATTATAGGGTATTTTTCTCTATCTGCCTTTATTAAATATGGTTGCGCGTACATCTCACCCATCTCAGATGGCTAGTGCACTGAGGCGTGAGAGTGGCGAGCTGGGTTGATTCCTGGCGGCCACAATGTTTTTGCTAGGGGCTTCATTTGCATGGGATTTTTTGCATGGCACTGTTGGACCCTACGTGGCGCGTTTTTTAGGTCAGTTTTTGCAAAGGATTGGTCGTGGCGCGCGCGCTGAGCCGCAGAAGTAGCTGGGCGCGTTTGTTTTCTCATTTGGGCGCGTTTGAGCGCGTTTCTTGGCGCTACGGCCGTGTTGCACCGCAATTTTTTCGTTGTTTGCGTTGGCGCCACGGGATTCTAATTTTAGCGCTCGTCAGCTCCGTCGTTTGAGTTCCACGGTGCGTAATAAAACTAGTCTTTCCCCCGGCCTTGCTTGCTTGCTTGCTTAAACGCCTCATCTCCTCACTTCGTTGCTTGCTTGCCGTGCTAGCTTGCTTCCTCACATGGCTTAGCTTTTCTCCTTCCACATCTACGGCGCAATGGCTGAGTCTTGCTTCGGCTTTGATCTAAACGTCCGTGTGAGATGCATGTACTGTACCTTAGTGCTCTTTGTTTGCTGTTTCTTAATATGCTCATCCACCTTCTTCAAAACTTCAGCAGTGCACATGATTCTAGTACCATCCATCTCAAGTTTAGCCACATCAGGAATGTAGAACTCGCAATCGAACCTGTCCATTAGATGGAGCCACTTTGCTGAGATGTCGTAGTCTTCATGTAGAAGGCCACAACGTGCACACCTGCGAGCGTTCCGGCGAGCTTGGAAGCAAGCATCTCCGAAGACGCCGCAAGCGTGCAACATGCCGCAGCGAGGACAGTGCACGACCTCGTCGTCTGGGACGTCCTCGACGGAGTCCGGCACGACGACATCGACGGAGTCCGGCACAACATCGACGGACTCCATGGCCACATTAGAGTCCAGCGCGTTGACGGAGACGAACGCATCGACGGACTTCATGGCCTCAAGTCCAGCGCGCCGACAGAGTGCTGCGCCTTGATGGACTCCATGGCCTCGAGCGAGCAGGAGAGCGTGGCGGCGAACCCTAAACGCGCTGTCGGCGCGGCCAACCCTAAACGATGGCGGCGAGGAAGCGAGCAGGAAGGGAGGCGGGTGCTGCGGAGAGGAAGGGAGTACGCGAGAGCCGAGAACGGGCGGCGACCAAGAGAAACGAGGCATCGAGCAATTAATGTCGAGTCCGGTGGCGAGCGGAACGGACGCAAGCGCTAGGGGTAAACCTGTCCGAGCGCGGCCGAGCGAGTGTAGAATAAAGATGAGCAACGGGCCGGCACGGCACGGCACGGCCCGAGCCCGGGCCAGGCACGGCCCGATCGGGCTCGGGCCCTTTTGGCCCGCCGGGCCACCGGGCCGTGCCTGAACAGTCCACCGTGCCTGTCGGACGGCCCAGGCACGGTCCGTGGGGCGAATATCGGGCCGTGCCAGCCCGTTGAGCCCGCGGCCCACTGGTCCATCGGGCCAGCCCATAGCCCGTTACACAGTAAACACCATATTTAACAGCACAATCACAGGTTCACATATTCATATTTAACAATCACAGAAACACCAGATGACAAAATATTTGAGCTTTTTATGCAATGCCGCCTCATTAAAAACCATTCTAGGTAAAACTCACACCTCGTGAGATAAAACCCTAGAAAGAAAAATAGTACGACCAGCTCAATAAATTAAAACGGGCCTCCACCGGGCCGGCCGTTGTAAAACGGGCCGTGCCGTGCCGCCCGGCGGGCCGAGGCCTCAGCCCAAGCCCGGCCTGCTACGGGCTTCGGGCCGGCACGGGCCCGGTTAGGGTTCGGGCCGTGCCGTGCTCGGGTCGGGCCCAATAACCGTGCTTTGGGCCGGGCCTTTGGCCCACGGGCTGCATGCACATCTTTAGTGTAGAACGTCAGGTTTTGCGAAAACACGACGGGAACGTCAAGAATTTCATGTACGGAGGGAGTAGGCCACCGAGTTAGCATCCCTACACACCCATGCAATTTTGAACTCGCAAAAACTCGTGCCTAACTCTGTAATATCAAAACAAATTCCTCCAATTGAGGACCTCATTCCCTCGCGATTATCAACCATGGACTTCAAAGCGCTGCAATCGACCTCCAGGATTACCTTGTCATAGCCGTTTTCCAGCGCTAGCTCGAGTCCCACTTTAGCCGCCATAGCCTCAGCAGTAAGAGCGTCCGGCATATGATCAAACCAGCGCGCCGCGCCAGCAAGCACCACTGCTTTGGATCGTCAATCTTGTTCGTCGGGTCTGCTATGCCGTTCGTTTGGGCTCTATGGCCATCACATTGAGTCAACGGATGATGATGGCCAGGGCACTAGTGAGGGAAATGGGCCGTTCGTTTCTCGGCAGCCTGTTGGAAAACAGTTGGCCTGCATTTTCTGATCTTATTGATACGCACGCATGTCCGATGATCGGTTCAGACTTCAGAGCTCACTCACCAGTCACCACTGGATTCACATTCACTCCAAACTCCGACGCAGCAGCTCGGAGAAAGAAGGGGTACTGGGTACAGCGTACATGCATAAACAATGGAAGTTTGCGTCTTACCCCATGCCGACTACTCGCCGTTACTTCGAGCGGCGAAAAAGTGCGCTCGCCTCGAATCCCAAGTCTCTGCAGATTGTTCATCTGGTTGAAGCGGAGACCAGACATCAGAGTCCTCTGCTTCCGTCGTGCGGTGCGCCAAGGCCCAAGGCTGGCTTCTCTCTTTGCGGGCGCAGACAAGGGGGCGACCGACGAAGGAATGGACAGGAAGCTGAGGCCGCTGCCGCAGCCGGCGGTGAGGAGGGCCGCGTGGCCCGTCGGCCTGCTCGTCGCGCTATGCTTCACGACGCTGCCGCTCTTCCTCGCGCTGTCACCCGGGCGGCCAACCCTGTTCGACGTGTGGCAGCAGATCGGCATCAGAGTAGTGGTGCACTACGGTACGTGCGTGCGTGCTTGTCTGCCTCGCGTGCCGCACGCAGCATTCGCAAACGCAGACTGCAACAACGCGTGTTCGCTTACCCGACCCGCCCGATCCATGCAGATGATGAGCCGAAGCCGACGTCGGAGCCCTCGGATTCGCCGCTGGAGAGCCTCGACATCCTCCTCGGCGGTCTGCTCTCGCCGGACATCAGCGAGAGCACCTGCCTGAGCCGGTACCTCTCCTCGCTGTACCGCAAGGCGTCGCCGCACTCGCCGTCGCCGTACCTCGTGTCGCGGCTGCGCAAGTACGAGGCGCTCCACCGCAGGTGCGGCCCCGGCACGCCCTTGTACGACAAGTCCGTGAGGCAGCTCGCGTCCGCCCACAACAGCATGGGCCTCGCCGAGTGCACCTACCTCGTGTGGACGCCCGGCAACCACCTCGGCGACCGCATGGTCTCCATGGCGTCCGCCTTCCTCTACGCGCTGCTCACCCGCCGCGTCTTCCTCGTCGACATGGCCAAGGAGCTGCCCCCGGGCTTCCCCGTGCACAACCTCACGCAGCTCCGCCGCGGCAGCGAGCATAGCTACGGGAGCCTGCTGGGGGCCAAGAAGATCAGCAACGAGGACCCCGTCGGCGTGCGGTCCGAGTCGCTGCCGTCGTACGCGTACCTCCACCTGGCGCACGACTACCAGCTGCCGGACCAGCGCTTCTTCTGCGACGACGACCAGACCGTGCTGGGGAAGGTGAACTGGCTGCTACTGCGCTCCGACCTCTACTTCGCGCCGGGGCTGTTCCTCGTGCCGCAGTTCGAGGACGAGCTCCGGTGGATGTTCCCGGCCACGGACACGGTGTTCCACCACATCGGAAGGTACCTGTTCCACCCGTCCAACAAGGTGTGGAAGATGATCCAGGGGTACTACACGTCGTACATGGCCAAGTTCGATGAGAAGATTGGGCTTCAGATCACGACCCTCACCTGGAACCCCGTGTCGACGGAGGCGTACTTCAACCAGATCGCGGCTTGCACGAGCCAGGAGAAGATCCTGCCCGAGGTAGATCCCAAAGTAGCGTCGAGTGAGCACGAGGCGGCTGCGACGTCGTCCAAGGCGGTGCTCGTCATCTCGGCGCAGCCGGAGTACGCCGAGAGGCTCAAGTCCATGTACTACGAGCACACCACGGTCACCGGCGAGCCTGTCAGCGTGCTGCAGCCACCAGGAGCCGGAAACCAGCCGCAGAACCACAAGGTGCTGGTGGAGATGTTCCTGCAGAGCTACTGCGACGTGTCCGTGGTGAGCGGGTGGTCAACGGTGGGCTACGTCGGCCACGGCCTCGCCGGGTTGAGCCCGTGCCTGCTACTGCCGCCGACGAACCAGACGGTGGCACACCCGCCCTGTGTCCGGGCAATGTCCATGGAGCCGTGCTTCCACGCGCCGCCGAGTTATGACTGCAGGGCCAAGACAAACGGCGACCTCGGTGCCGTTCTCCGGTATCTCAAGCGTTGCGAGGACGTAGATGATGGCCTTAAATTGTTTGATTGATTTCGATGAAGTTTGATCAGATCCGATCAAGTACGTAACATATCATTTTTTTTCCAGAAGTCAGATTCGAAAGAAATTTCAGAATAACTTATCTTCTTTTCTTAAATTGTTTTTTTTTTTTTGCTTGGGACTTGGGAGGAAGTTGTGTATATGCAACTCCACGGTCTAAAAATTTTGTGTTTCTCATACAGCTTATGCAATTTCTTGAACTGCCTTTCAAAGCAAACAAACAACAATTTTGTCATGTCTGGAAAGGAAAGTAAGATTACCCAAGCTAGCTAGATTACAGCAGTCAATAAGTCATGTTGCATGCTCCTAACAATCAGCCCGTTCGCTTGCTCGTAAACGATCGTAAATTTTCAGCCGGGAACAGTGTTTTTCTTTCATACCAAACCAGCCAACAGTAAATAATCCACGATACGATACGGCCTCCCGAACAGGCTGAATATTAGCACAGTGGTCTGAGGGGCAACTCAATGGTGTTCGATATAATCTACAACACGATTAGAGTAAATTTCAGAAACACTTCTACAGTTATGTTCGAATTGTAACCTATTTTCTACAGGAGTACATTTACAAATAAATCATGCCAAAGAATTTAGCACAATATTATCAATGGAAAGGAATGTAACTTTCAATGTGTCTTCTTCCTAGACACGAACATGGCCACTATGGACCGTGGAAAGAGTGACTTCCGTGGCTTTGGCTCTTTCACCCTAGTTGCTCCTATAGTGTCAACTCTAGACAGTGTTCCAACCATGTGAGGATTGGAGGTTGACGATGCTGCATCAAAAGACAATGAAGCGCTCTTCAAATTGGGGATGTCAGAAATGGCATGGCCTGACTCGCCCGCTTTCCTTTGCTGCTCATGCTTGGCCCTCCGCTTCCTCAGCTCGTTCTCCATGGTGAGCTTGCCATATTGCGCTGAATTGGCTTTCTCCTGCGCAGCCCTCAGCTCCAACTTCCTCTCATAGATCTTCTTGGTCGACTGCTCTAGTTGATTCAAGCTCCTCACCTCTGCATCCTTGGCTTCTTTGATTTTCTCAACAGCCTTGATGACCCGCTTCTTGGCGAGGCCTTCAGCATCTTGGGCTTTCTTGCTTAAGGCATCATACTCTTCAAGTGATAATGTCATATAGTTGTCGCTTATCCGTTCATCTTGGGGCTCTATTTGTGCTTCATCATTGTATTCTTGCAATGCATTTGCTGAGGCGGTCGCAATTTCTTTAGATGCATTCACTGCAAGTATCTCTCTTGATGCCGCTTCTAGCCTCAATTTGATGACATTAAATTGTGCCTTGACTTGATCCGCCTCTTCACTAGCTTTTGCCACCTCATAACGGGCCATCTGAGCCTTAGCCTGTGCTTGTTCCACTACTTCAGTTGCTTGTTGTAGCTCTGCAGGCATCTTAGATGCTTTTGTTCTTTCATGGACGATGTTGAGCTCATATGTCATGTTGCTTTGCTCTTCCTGAAGTGATGACACAGAAAGCGAAGCGAGGTGCTCTTTGTGTTTCAATGCCAACAGATCTGCCTCCTCCCTCTCTATTTCAGCTCGTAATGTAGCAGCAACATTCCAAAGTATTCTGGCATCATCCTTGGCTTTTTTAATGTCCACCCTCATGTCCTCAAGCTCCTTCCTAGCATTTGCTAGCTTCATCTTGGTCATAACCATTGGTCTCTCTGCATCTCCATCTATACTAACCTCTTGGGGACATTCCCCTTTCAAATAACTAGAAAACTCATCTTGCAACTTCACGAGTAGTGTAGAGGCAGCTTTCAGCTTAGACTCGAGATCTTTGTTGACTGAAGCCGCATCACGCATACTTTGAACCTCCTCATCAACTTGCCTCAGTTCATTTTGCCAATTCTCCTTTTCTTGTTGATATGCCAAAGCAACATTCAATTTTTGTTCCTCTGCTATAATATGAGTAGCTTGTGAAGAGGTGAGCAACTCTTTCAATCTGATAATTTCGAGGGTAAGGTCATCCACAGTTTTCTCAATCTTTTGAGATGCAACACTGGATTCGCATGCTTTTGTTTCAGCATTGTCCCTTTTAGTGTTTATGGATGTGTACTCCTTCTGAAGTTGTTGTAGCTCATCCTTCACTAAATGTAGTTCTGCCAACGCACTAGCATAGCGATATCTTGCAAGCTCAATTTCTGCTCTTGCTGCAGCACTCTCTCTACAGGCAATTCCCTGTTGAATCTCTTTGAACCGTATATCAGCCAACTCTGAGTCTTGCTGTGCTTGTATTGCCTCAGTTTGCGTCTTCTCCAAATTTAGCTTCAACCCTTCTATGGTTCTCCTAGTGGTACACAATTCCATGACAACTTTGTTTTTCTCAACTTCTGCAGCTTCCGCTCTTCTTTTGTACTTAGGAGCATCTTCTAGTGCATTGTCAAGCTCATTTTGGACATTCTTACGTCTCTACACAAAACAAATGGAATGGAAAGACATGCTAATTTCATAAGTTAACACGAAAAAGAAAAACAATGGTATTGAGACATTCAAAGAACATATTAGGAGAATAGACATTACCTCTTTCCAGTCAAGAATGCCTCCAAATTTGCTTACAGCCTCTTTAACAGATTCTATTGGTGCTCTAGTGTCAACAAGCACCCTATTATCTATAGATTGAATGAACCGCTCAGCAATCTCTGCCGCCTTATAAATGTTTCTTTCAGCAGAGTTAGGGCGACTTTCTACCTTTGGTTCACCCAAGTAATGGCCGTTCTCCTCTCCTTTGTTTGCATATAAATCATTAATTGCAAGGCGACTTAAATCTTCACTAAAATGTCTAGAGTGACTACTTATGCCCTTCCGTTCAATCTGGTCATTACAATTTTGCTCTCCATTGTTCAAACGCAAATCATTAATTGAAAGGGCACTTAAATCCTCACTTAAATGTCTACTATGAACAACCAGGGCACTTTTAGTGAAATCAAATGAAGCAGGAGGTTCTGAATCAATCAAACTTGCCACTAAATCGACAGATTCAGAAGGAACAGATGTCTGTGGTACATTTTCCACATTCACTTCATTCATTGTGCAGGATACAGGAGGTTCCGAATCAATCAAACTTGCCACTAAATCGATAGATTCAGAAGGAACAGATATCTATGGCACATTTTCCACATTCACTTCATCCATTATGCAGGATGCAGGAGCTCACTGAGTGGTCGATTCAGAAATTTATCATGGATATACTTGACATAGGGTACCTGGAAAGTAATCACCAAGTTACATTATAAAATGAAGTGTTTTCACAATTCTGACTCATGGTTCAAGAAAATTACATATATAATATGTAGTCTCACAATGTTTCCCCAACAATAAAAAAGAAATGGGTTGCTTTATAAAGAAAACATTTTGATTAATTTTGTGAGTGAACTCCTCTTCAAATTTACCATATATATAATTGTATATTTTTTCTTAAGAAACTGTAGTAACTCTGTCAAAATAGTCCATGTGCACTGACTCTAACAACAAGAAAAATAAGGCTGATCAGATCAGTTGCAATTTCATCTACTAAAGTTATTGGGAACATGCATTTTTCATTAAAATGGAAATGATATATATTTGGGTTTGCTTTAGTATGCCACTTTTTGAAAATTCTACAATTCATGAGTGAAGTAATAAGGAAGGACAAATCTGAGCAGCCCCCCCCACACACACACACTATTCTACGCCTTTCACGTTGAATAGTATTCAATACGCCCGCAGAGCGCCGCTATCCTTCGACGACACCTCTCAAACGTAAAACCACATCCACCTAACGGTTTATAAATATCCTTATTTACTACATCCTCTGTGCTAAAAGGTCACCACAATAAAATGAAAGAAAAACTACTCCTTGTACATAAGAGTAAATTTAATCATTCAAAATAGTAAGCATTTCTAAATGGACGTTCTCTCCCACAACCATGAACAACGATGTCCAAACCGTAAAACACTCAGATTGCTGTCGTAAATAATAAAGTATTATTTTTTATCCATCGAAATAAATCTATTAGAAAATCTCGGTAATCATGTCAATGATGTCACGAGAAAACCTCAATTGAGTGTGCACCCTCTCAATTATCGTCCCAATCTACATCCCCGCATATGGAGTAGCATCATAATGCCACATATGATCCCCACATTCAATGGGGTTCTCATCATGGATCTCATACCATGCTGGCTCCACCACGCCCCGATTGACCCTGTCTTTGCGCTACCACAGTAGTCATCTAGTTCGACGCACCTCAGCGCACCCTTTCCGTAGACCTGTAGTTCGTCATGGTCGCCTCGAGTTGTCAACTCGGCCAGCTAGTGGAATCTCCTCCATTCAACTACACGCCGGAGGAGTCTCCCCTAACCTCTCACGGAGAAACACCCTAACTATGAATTTGTATCACCATTGTTCCGCTCTGAGCACATCCCTTGATTTTGACTACATGTAGTCCTTTATTTGATTTAGGAACTAAATTAATCCCCTATATACACTATAGTTCGCTCTTCTGTTGCGATTCTTAATCTATGTCAGATAGATTCCACTCAAATTGATGCATTATGTACATGGCATATGATGTTTTTTGTGATTTATTGATCACATGATTTTATCACGAGTTGTCCTGGTGATTGCACAATAATTGTCTTGGTAATTGCATGACCAACACAATCACCACTAAGACACTAACACCTACGTCAATGTTGATACACATATATCACCTAACGATTATTTTTGTTTTTGAAAACCTAATCAGTCATATCATAATATTCCAAATGTACAACTAGAGATAAACCAGCTAATAACCAAGCATTCAATTATTTGGTTTCAAAATATGCCAGTCCAAGCTGCACAAATATATATATATATATATAGGGTAAGGCTATTCTACAGCTGGCCATAGAATAACTTATTCTATAGCCACCTTGATTTACGATAATGTTTGTATCAATTTACGATAACATGAATATGCATTTACGATACTCGTGTTACTACAACTCACGGTGA